CCTCTTAACGTGTCTGATTGCGAATAAGCAAATGATGACAATTGCGCGTGTACTCGACGGAAACCAGAGTTCATAGCTTAAAGAACAACGAAAATATAACGTTAGCATTGCTTCGGGAGTCTTAATTACCGAAGCAGTAAAATTACCATCCTTCTTCAAATTCGTGGCCTGGCAGGTGAGTCTATAAGGGTCCTAAAATGTTCAGTTTTTATGGAGTTGTAATGCGAGACGTCGGGCAGGATGCCATCAACGTTCATGTGTTCCATGAGGCAACACCTTTTCTTTGTAGAAGTTGAGTTCATACGAGTCAAATTTTTTGACAAAAAATCCCGAATAGCCCTGTGGATGTAAACCACTAATCATCCAGTTATCGTAAACAGCTGCTCACCTCCATGAACATCGACGCCCGAGCTTGAATGAAAAAGAATGAATGAAGAGATCGAATCTGCTCTTTTACACAATTGCACAATAATAATAATATAATACTGAGTGATCATTGTGGGTCACTGAGGTCGTGAATTCAAAGCTTGCGGAACGGAGTAGAGGTAAATTTTGATTAGTTTATAGATAATTTGGCATGTTTGTTTTTATTGATATCAATACCTTAAGCCGTTGGGATACCGTCTACGGTTCGTTGCCCTTAGTGCCCTAGAAAAAAACAACCGGCTCACCTACAGTCCGAACAACTGCCCACCGCTTTGAGCATTGTTAACCACAGTTAGATATGGAATCAAAAAATGTACGAGCAATTTGAATCCCAGGTTAGATATAGAAGCTTAAAAGCATACAGCTTCAATATAGGCAAAAAGAAAAAAATTTCAGGCTTAAGAAAGGGGAATCACTTACATTTATCACTGATAATCAAAGCACGCCGCAAAAAAAGTAACGGCAATACTCAGATTGACAATTGCTCAATAATGCTGTTTAACCAAGTTGCAGTCGTAAAGGAGATGCGCTGAGGCTGAGATGACAATTTTTTGAGAACTTGGTTCTGATATAAATAATGACACGTCTTGATTTAGTGAATGTGCTTCGCAAGACACACTGCGTGATCTAACAGCTTTTCAAGAGTAACCTGTTCAATAGGTCAATTTAAAAAGATTTTCGTGATTTCATTATTTGCGAAGACAAAGTTGAAAACCGCATATCTTGCCAAATTTAAATGGAAACACAGGTGTGAGATTAATTATGCAGCAGGGAAAGCTGGTGTCAGATATAAGGGTAGGCTCGCCAATATTCAAGTAAAAATTGCCGGTATTACCAGACTGAACTGAACCAGTAATTAGTTTCAGTCTGGACTGATGACACTTTGTGGACGGATTGCTACTCAGGACGGTAAGAAAGGACCTAAGAAAAGTCGTTGCAATATATCAAGAATTTGCTAATGATGCTTCATGATCATTCTACAATATGAAAATGTACGGTATGCGCTTCTTGATGATTTGTAATAGTAACGTTGAAATGTTGAAAATAATTCTCTTCCCTGAAGTTACGGCATTTAGTTTATCAGTTTTTTCTCTAGTCTAGGTAAATTTTAATTACCATTCTTAGTAGTTTCAGTCTGTTTCCTTTTTTCACAACCAAGATGATCTTGATCAGAAGAATTTCATTAGGTCCATTTCGGTTTCTTTCGAAAGCGTTAAATTTTGCTTTGTCTGCTACCATGGATAAATGGTATAATTTTTGTCAGAACTGTTAGTCGATGTTCTTGCTCTGAAAGTGAATACATTTCAGAACTGAAAGATATGCAACTAACCTTTATCTTGGTATTTGAGGTGCATTGAAATCGGTCTTGCTTTGATTCAACATAGGCGGCTTCGAGCATTTGAAGATTTTAGTATTTTGCAATGTAAGATGGATGTTTTGACTGCATCATTTGATTTTCGCGCATAAATGCAGCAAACGTGGATTGGGTCTTTGGATAGTTTCTTAGCAGCATAAGAAATTTTATTATCCTTTCAGTTGATGAATAGTAACGGGTGGATGTCCGAACTTACCTGACATCTATTGTTGGCTTCTTCGTTTGATGTTTCATTGTTTTGTATAGTTTTACACTGATACAAAATGGTTTTGGTGGGATGTCGGATTTGTTATATTATGCATAGTTATTTAGTTATATTGTTTACGTTGATATAGTATAGATTGTCTTTAGATTCTTTCATGAAATTTTCCTATTGTGTTTTTCCTTTGTTTGCGTAGCTGAAAGTTTAGTCTTGATTGAATCCCACTTAGCAGTAAAACCCATTAATACGCGATCTTCAGCCCTGTTTACGGTTCGAAGTAATTTTCAAATGTTTCTGGACTCAATTATTTTCTCTT